TATGACAAATCACAGTTTGAACTATCTAGCTGTGCATGTAATGAGTCTATCTCATGTATTAGGTTCATCTTTTAAGTTGCATTACTGAAATAAATGAACTTTTGCACAATATTCTAATTTTTCGAGTTTCACCTGTAGATAGACAGACAAATAGACAAATGATGGATAAATGAGAGAGAGAGAGAGAGATTGAGGCAGAGATATGCCAGTTCTTGTGCAATTATGCAAGAAGATTAATCACTGTTTCAGAGATAAGGACTTTGAAGATATTCTTTTCTATTGCCATTATGGCAATGTGTCTTAGGTATTCATCACTCATACATTTCTCAAACAACTCTTTTTTTAATTTTATTGCTTTTTTAGTATAACAAAGAAAAAAAAATATGAGAACGAATTCTAAAATAAGCATACCTAAGTAAAATACAACAGACAACTATATAGGTTTAAACAGGTGGAACAGCACAATTTTTCAGCAACAAATTAAGGCTTGACTAAATTTAATTCATTTGGCCAGTCTTTACATTGTCATGATCAAGAACTAATTCAAAGTCTAAAAATACATTTTCCTGAAATATTCTTCATTTGGTGGGGGTTGTGTCTGCAAATCATCATTTAAGTTTATTGAATGTTGAGTGCTTAGTGTTTACTGAATCACAAATAGAACTTTGACTTTAAAATGTTTTTTGGAAAAATACTTTCAACTGTATTGAGCTCAGTCGTAGCATAGTTTGGAAATTTGGGGAATATACAGCAAATTCTCATTTCTGTGCAGGTTGCTGGAAAGTTCTTCTTCAGTAGCCTTGTTATCAGTCATAATTCTGTTAAAATTCTTCTCGTGGTCCTTCAAATCTTCCAATTTGTCAAAGAGTTCATAAGAAAACAAACTTGAGCCACACCATGATCTGATACTATTTTAAATTCAAGAAGCACTTCCCTAAAACAAAGAAAGCCTCAAAAGCTCGCTGATTATATTCAGGGATGGTAAAACTACTCAAGGTGTTGATTTCAACAACTCAACATAATGCTGTCTGACATACCCAATGGGTGTCTGACACAATTTTTCAATAATTTGTGTTCCCATTTTCTTCTTACAATTCAGTGAAACATAAATACACAAAGGAACTTGACGAAAGCACATAAGACTTGTTAAAGAGATCTAAGTTTTTACAACTATCAACTTATCACATTCAAGCCTTGGTGGTAACAATAAGCAGAGTTTGTCTCGCCACTTTGCTTGCAGTACTGTGCCACTTAAGGTTGCACTCATTGCGCGGCCACCATCCCTGGTTTGCGCTACGCAGGTTTTTGTATTGGTGCCACAATAGGCGCTAAGATGTCTTTTATAAAAGTCATAAATTAAACAGTAACTGGGGGACAAATTGGTGAAACATATTCCCACTGTAGCAACTATGGAGAACAACTGATATTCCTGCACAGAAAATTCCTTGGCTTCCTCAACAATTAATGCAAAAAATTTGTCTTCCTGGGGAATCAATTTTAAAGCCATTTGGCTCAAAATACCTACTTCGTTTTTAATTGCATGATTCCTTTAGTTGGCATGACAAGGTTAACTAGGTAAAGGTTTTCCCTGTCCATCTATGTCTGACTCTAGAGGGCAGTGCCCATCTCCGTTTCCTAGCCAAGGGAGCCAAAATTGTCTGAAGACAATTTCTCTGGTCATGTAGCCAGCATGACTGTTCGAAGAAATATCCTTCTGGGTTCAGTTCCAAGTGGGAAAAAAGACACTGGAAAGATGGAGGCTGTTTAGAAAGATGGTTTAATGGTGGACAGGTCCACATGGCTTGGAGCTCCAAAGTGAAAGGGATGATCACATGCTTCAAGATGTAGGGTGAAGGAAAAGAAGGGCCAAGATGCTGAGAGACCCTTAGTTATATACCTTCTGGTGGGCCCCAGCTTAGTGTTTCCTGTTCCTGTGTAAGAAATGTATCCCATTGGCTGTCAGACTCCCAGGGTCTTAGCTAACTTTGTAGGCTTTGTCTGGACCACACAGCTTCACCTGAGTGCTGGCTGATGCAATCTTCCCAGGCCATGTGGTGAGATGGGTAGAGGGCTTTGTTATGTAGAATACTCTGGCCCAAGCCTTAATGGCCCGCCCATTAACAAAGGTGTGTGTGGGGGGTGAACTTCTGCTTCTGAGGGGAGTTTCTGCTTCTGAGTTTCTATTTCTCTTTTAGGGAAAATATTCTGCCTTTTTAATATTTCCTTGGATATTTCGTTTTTCTAGGAGAGGGGTAGGTGCTAACTTCCTACATGACCATACAGCATGAGGCATACAAAACACTGTTGCTTTCCCACCAAGGTGGTACCTATTTATCTACTTGCATTTGCATGCTTTCAAACTGCCAGGTAGGCAAGTAACAGGAGTTCATCCCGTCGCACAGCACTCGCGTCTCAAAACCCCGGGCTGTTGGCTTCCCAGCCAACAAGCTCAGCATCTTTAACCACTGAGCCATCGCACCCCACAAGCTTAACTACTGTAGGCTACATTCTGGGGTTATGGTTTCCAATCAGCTGCAAGAGTTCAGAAAGGTTTCCTCCGTTGTGATTCATCCTATCACTTTCCAAGGCTCCACATGGAGTAATGTTGCTGTGCTTTGTTCAAAGGTGAACCGGAGTAGCCATTTAATGTGATTTTTTTCTGTCCCGATTCCTTTAGGAACATCACTTAATTGGGCTAAAACTGTTGTGGTATGTGGGAAGGACCTTGGGAGACAGAAGGAAGAGCTGCACACTGGTCACCTGGTGTAAAGGTATCACATCCCATAGTAAGGAAGGAGGGAACCCTTCCTAATTTCCAGGAAAGGAAGGGGGAAAATGCTTTCAGCCTTGCAAATTCTCTTACCATGAAGATAGAGTTCATACTCCTGGTTGTGTTTCTTATCTGGACTACCTCGCAAAGCTAACAAAAACTGTGCTTCCTTTGCCTGTTTGTAATTCTCCCAAGGTACCATGAAGTCTTGGAAACTTTTTCCAGTTCCAATACCCCCTTGCATGTGAGCACATATTTGTTACTACTTGCATACTTTCCAGGGAAATGGCGACCAGCAAAGCATCACCCAGCATTTTCCAATGTGCTGAATTTTAGTTCAGTTTACTTCACTTTTACTTTTATTGTCATCGCACCTCATACAACGAAATTAAATACCATCTTCAGCGTATAATTTATGACTATGAAAATAAAAAAAAAAAAAACACCCAACCTTCACATTCTATACAATTGAATTGAAAACCCCTGATATTGCATTAACATTGCACTATACAGTAGAATTCAATAGAGATACTGCCCTGGGATAGAAGCTGTTTTTCAGCCTATTTGTCCTTGTTTTTATTATCCTGTACCGTCATACATTCCAACCTAGGATAAAGTTCCCACAAGTCTGGACTACACTGTTAACCATGATTTGCCAAATTCTGTTGGGAAATTCTGGAGCACTGGCTTCATAGGACTTTGATGCTCAGACCGATCAAAGCCACAAGGTCCAGCCACATGTTTTGGTCCAGAGATCTGCACACAGCCGCCCTGGATTATTTACTTTTTCATCTTTGCAAATATCAGAATTCTCTCGCCCAACAAACGTTGCTTCCCTGGACCATTTGAAGAAACTCTTATGGATCCTTCTATAACAGGGGTCTCCAACCTTGGCAATTTGAAGCCTGGCGGACTTCAACTCCCAGAATTCCACAGCCACTTTTGCTACTTGCATACTTTTTTTTTCTGGCTGGGAAATTCTGGGAGTTGAAGTCCGCCAGGCTTCAAGTTGCCAAGGTTGGAGACCCCTTCTCTATAACATCAGCTAGGGCCTTGTCCAAAAAAAAAAAAAGAGAGAGAGAGAGAGAAGTCAAGAGAGTGACTGCAAGCATACAACTGAAATTTGGCCCGGCTCTTTAAATGTACATGGCATGTTTTCTTGACTTCTTGAAAAAGTCTTGTGGATTCCTCCAAACTTCAGAATCTTTTGAGGTTACTGAATTGTTGATACTGGGTGGAACTGAACTGGATTTCCGAGAGGGAGATGCTTGGGGATCAGCCAAGCTGCTCCAGTGCCCAGGACTGTTTGGGATCTTTTGAGGAGTGGGGGCACGGGGGGGACTATTTGTTTTCAGTCAACAACTGCCTGGCCCGATCCCTGCATATTTTATTTATTTTTGTAAGACCTGGAAGCTTTCAAGAACAGACTGGACTGCCATCTGTCAGAAATGATGTAGGTGGGTCTCCTGCCCTGGGGACGGGGGTGGGGGGGACCTACAAGGTCCCTTTCCAACTCTGTTAATCTCCCTCTTAAGTGATTTGTCATTACCTCTACCCAGGGGCTAAGAGGGAGAGACCAGCCAAGGATCACCCAGTTGGCTTCGTGCCCAAGGCGATTCCTAGCTTGACCCTTTTAACTACCAACTCTCCCTTCAAGCCTGGAAGAAAATGAGGACAAGACAAGCAACTGTTGCAACAACAACAACAACGCAAACCGCAGAATTGTTGAATTTGCTACCTTTCCTATTGTGTGTCTTTTTCACTGAGTAAAATCGTAATTGGCTCATTCCTAGGTGTATTTTGTTTTGGGGGAGGAGGAGGAGGAAGAGGAAGAAGAAGGAGGAGGAGGAGGGGGGGGGAGAAGGAGAAAGAGAAGGAGAAAGAAGAAGGAGAAAGAAGAAGAAGAGGAGGAGAAGGAGGAGGAGGAGAAGAAGAAGAAGAAGAAGAAACAACAGCAGCAACAGCAGCCCGGGCTGGTCTCACACCGCGGGAGGAAAACCCAGATCGCTTTTGATCTTCCCGCGATCCCTCGGGATTGCAAGATCCTTTCCTTCCCCAGGCAGAGGCGGCTGGGAGCCACAGCGGCCAGACGTCCGAGAACCCACTCACTCCTCCTCCTCCTCTCCTCTCCTTTCAGCGCACACCCACCCACCCACCCGTGTTCGGCCTCTCTCCTTCCAGAGGGACCGTCCAGGAGCCCTCCGACCCGCCCCCCTCCCTCCCTCCCTCCCTCCGCTCCCACCGCACGGGTCCGAGGCCGCGCCCCTCCGCCTCCGGAGTTGCGCTGGAGGTCGACGCTTCGTTCGCGCTCCGCGATTTTGCCGGCCATGGTGAGTCCCGAGGAGCCCTTGGCGGTGCTGCGGGGCAGGAAGCGGGGGGGGGCAGAGAAAGTTGCAAGCCGCCGCCCCCCCTCCGGCCAGGGAGAGGCATTGGCGCTGAGATGGGGGTGTTGGGCGGGGGGGGGGTTGAAATCTTGGTAGCTCACGGTTAATTCTTAATCCGAACTCAGCCCGGCGAAAGGGAAAGCGGGCGGGATCGAGTCTGCGCCGGTTGCGTGCGCCTCGCCATCTGTCTGTCCTCTTCTCTGCCTCTACCCATCTCTATTTTCTATGATTTGTCCGCCTCTGTCTCCATCTCTCGCTTGCATAGGCTTCGCCGGGTCTCTTGGAAGAGCGGCGCATCTCCCAACGACGACCTTACTCGGGACGGGAGGGAGGGAGGGAGGAGGGCAGGCGGAGTAGCAAGTGTGGGAAACGCACCGGGAGGCGTCTTAACAAAACGCAGCCAAGGAGATTAATTTGACAGGTAGGTCTGGATGAGTTGTTGTTATTGGTTTTTGTTTTTTGTTTAATGGCAAAAGATCCATGGAGATTCTCAGTCCTCCAGGTCATGCGTGTCCAAAAGGTGTTTTGTTTATTTATTTATTTTATTTTATTTTGTCAAGCGATTATAAGGTAACAGGTATAAGTAGAAACATGGTTATGAAGACATGAAATGGATACGAATAAAAATAAAAAAGAAACAATAGGACAGGGACAAAAGAAACAATAGGACAGGGACGTAGGCAGGCACGTTGGTGCGCTTATGCACGCCCCCTACAGACCTCTTAGAAAAGGGGTGAGAGGTCAATAATAGACAGTCTAAGGTTAAAGTTTTTGGGGTTGGGGAAGAAACCACAGAGTCAGGTAGAGTATTCCAGACATTGACCACTCTGTTGCTGAAGTGGTATTTCCTGCAATCAAGTTTGGTGCGGTTTACCTTGAGTTTGTATCTATTGTTTGCTCTTGTGTTGTTATGGTTGAAGCTGAAGTATTCATTGACAGGTAGGACATTGCAATGTATGATTTTATATACTATACTTAGATCAGACTGAAGGCGGTGTGGTTCTAGGTTTTCTAGGTCTAGAATTTTGGGTTGTTTTTTTTCCCAAGAGGTAACTGGGCTTTCTGCGTTTGTCTTTGAAAATGTTTTGCTTCTCATCCAAGAAGCTTGTTTAGCTCTGACTGGATGTGGTGGGGAATGGAAGGATTTATACCAGTGGTGGCTAACCTTTTTGGGCTCCTGTGTCAAAAATTGTGTGCGCGCTTGCGTGCCAGCACCCAGAAGGCAATGTGCGCATGCCCCCCCATGCTCCCTGCACATGCATACACAATTTCTTCCCCTGCCACTGCCCCCTTACCTGCACTGTGCCTCCCAGCTGATTTTCAGCCTGTTTGAAGCCTTTTTTTGGCCTCCCAGAGGCTTGAGGAAAGCCTTTGCAGGCCAAAAAATAGGCCCGTTTCATCACTTCTGGTATTTCCAGAAATACAGGAAGTGATGAAACAGGTCTATTTTTCAGCCTGCAAAGGCTTTCCTCAAGCCTCTGGGAGACCCCAAAAAAGGCCTCAAACCAGCCATAAATCAGCTGGGAGGCGTGCCATGCACAGTGAGGTAAATTTGCCTGCGGCTCACCTGCCGGCACAAATGGCTCTGCATGCCACCTGTGGCCTGTGTGGCACAAGTTTACCATCACGGATTTAGACACTTGCAGATGGACCGCATTTGAAAGACAAAAGGCCACTCTTTCGAAGACAAGCAAAGTCCACATTTTGCACACAGAGGACAGCTGGTTTGAAAGAGGAGTCAAAGAGGCCATCTATGTCCAAACTGAACAGCCCTCTCTCACCAGAAGGGCTGGGGTACGACATCATCTATCTCCAGTTTACAACACAGTCCTTTCAGCAATTCCAAGAAGGCTCCAAAGCCATTTGCACTGCTCAAGGTGACCCTGAGGACGTAGGATAAGCCCCCAGGTGGCCTCAACCACTCACTAAAAGGATGCAAATGATCAGCTGTCTGCAAGAAGTGTAAATCCTCCCATTAATCTCCATCCTGTCAGAGTTGAAGAAGTTTCTTAGATGAAAAATGAAACTTCTTCAAAGGAAAAAAGAAAGCCCCGTTGCCTCTTGAAAAAATAAAAAATAAAAAGCACTTTTGGGACTTTTATTGCAAAGCTTCCAGGAAGAACCAGCTGTTTTCTAGGATTGTGGGGGGGAGAGAAGAAGAGGAGGAGGAGGAGGAGGAGGAGGAGGAGGAGGAGGAGGAGGAGGAGGAGGCACAGAGATATGTTCAGACCTAAAGAGTATAAGGGAGATGGGTAACCGTTAATGCTGCTCCTTCTGAAGCCAGAAAGGAGTTGCTATACTTAGGGTCAATTTCCAGTTGTTTTCTCCTGGATGCAAGGCCAGATGTTCTGGGCCTTTGTTGCTTTTCTCTCAGGTCTGGAACCTACAAAAGACAAAAACTATCCAGTCGTGAACTGGTCTCTTCTCTGCTTCACTTTTTTTTCCCCTGCATCTTGCTGTAATTGGTTGCATGTGTTCTTTTAAACATCTGTGCAATATTTAGTGGCATGTGTTGTAATCAAAGGCACATATGGTGAAATGTTTCAGACTTGTTTCTCCACCCCACCCCACCCCACCCCCCAAAATTGAAATCTTAACCAGGGAAATGCAGCTGGATTGGATTGGTGGGGGATAAAATAAGGTTGGGGCTATTAGCAGCTGGCGCAAAGCAGTTTTGTGTTGAACTTTGAATCTGCAAACAAAAGCAAAATCCTTCTCACTTTGGACCCCACGCAAATCAAATGCAATTACGTACATTGCTGGGATCAGGGATTGGCAACCTGGTGACAAGGATGTAGGCTTGTCAAAGGATGGTGGGCTAGGCAAGCAAGAATTATACCAGCCAGAAAATCCTTCATATCCCAGAAGAAAAGACAAAAGAAGAGAAATGGAATTTCAGACATTGTTTAGTGCTGTAGGGAGAATTGTGGGACAGCCTTGGGTGGAATAAGAGAATAACTTGAGTTAGAAGGGACCCTAGAGGTCTTCCAGTCCAATTCCTGCTCAAGCAGGAGACCCTATACTGTCTTTTGCCAAACTGAGGCTTGTAGAAATCTGATTACACCACTTAGCTTAGCAGTCCAGGATGGGAACTTTACCCATTGAAGGTGCACGGTTTCTGTTCCTAGTCTATGTTTATAATCAGACTTGGTGGTGCCTTCCAGGTATCGTAGACCAGGGGTCCCCAAACTCTGGGCTGATGCAACCCACTAGAGTGTGATGGCGAACCTATGGCACGCGTGCCACAGGTGGCACACACAGAGCCATTTGCGTCAGCACACAAACTGCAGGCAAACTTACCTCACTGTGCATGCGCCTGCCTCCCAGCTGATTTTCAGCCAGTTTGAGGCTTTTTTCGGTCTCCCAGAGGTTTGAGGAAGACTTCTGCAGGCCAAAAACTAGACCCGTTTCATCACTTCCTGTTTTTCTGGAAATACTGGAAGCGACAAAATGGGCCTAGTTTTCATCCTGCAAAGCCTGCAGAAGCCTTCTTCAAGCCTCTGGGAAGCTGAAAAAGGCCTCAAATTGGCCAAAAATCAGCTGTGAGGCGCAGTGCAGGTAAGGGGTGGGGGTGGGGTGGGGATTGCATGCACATCCCTAGGGGGCATGGGGCAGCGCCCATTGCCTTCTGGGTGCTGGCATGAGCGAGCGTGCAAGTGCGTGAACAATTTTTGGCACAGGAGCCCAAAAAGGTTAGCCACCACTGCACTAGAGGGCTGTGACGGGTTTGCAACCAGGCCACAGAAACAGCTGGTGAGAGTGCGAGCACACATACACATCCTCACTTGTGCAAGCAGCAAATAGCACACACACACACACACACACATTTGCTGACCGCTTGTGCAGAACCAGCCCCTCCCCCTGCACCAGTCCAGAAAGCTGGAAACATTGGGCAACTCTGCCTTAGACTTCAACAGCCAGCACAGCCAGTGCAATTTGGTCCTTGGTAGACACTGAATATAAAAGATATGTTGGTCCTTTAACTATCTAGGGCAGGGGTATCAAACTCAAGGCCCGGGGCCCCGGATCTGGCCTGTGGGGTGCTTAGATCTGGCCCATGTGACCACCTTGGAAACTGTGAAGGACCAGCCTGCAATGCCTCTGCCAGTGAAAATGGAGCTCCTCAGCTACAACGGCCTCCTGTAATCCTCTGCCGGGGAAAACAGAGCTCGGAAGCCCGTTTTCGCTGGTAGAGTGCTCAGGCCTTCACAGGTGCCCCCGGCACAAGTGACATCAAGCTGGCTACGCTCCCCCTGCCCCCCACCCCCGAGCTCAAACACAAACCTGATGCGGCCCTCAATGAAATCGAGTTTGACACCCCTGATCTAGGGTGACTGCCTTGAATGAACCCTTTTTAGAATAATCACTTCTTTGGGTGGTATGGAAAGCTTGTTCGTCTCAAAAGGAAACTTTTAAATCAAGGCCTGTAGTGATTCTCAGTTCTCCAGGTCATGGTTGTCCCAAAGGTGCTTTTTTCCAAGAAGCAATTGGACTTTTCTTGTTTTTTTTTTTTCTTTTGAAAACGTTTCGCTTCTCCTCCAAGAAGCTTCTTCAGCTCTGACAGGATAGTGGGGAGTGGAAGGATTTATATTCCTTGCAGACAGCTGGTCATTTGCATCCTTTTAGAGCAGAGGGCTCCAAACTTGAAGTTGAAGTCCACAAGTCTTAAAGTTGTCAAGTTTGGGGACCCCTGTTCTAGAGGGTCATTGAAGCACTTGGGGGTTCATCTGTGTCCTCATACTCCTGGTTCCTGTAGTCTGCAATTTTTTTTAAAATCAAGGTGGTTTTTGTTATTATTATTATTCCTAATTTATCCCATCTTGATCATGTTAAATACTGGAAAAATATGAATACTCTACCAGACGAGGTTGTAATTAGGAAAATTTGGGCTGAAATGGATAGATTAACTTTAAAAATTAAAGACAAAGATGATTCAGAATACCTTCAGACATATGGAATACATTTTATGAATGGATAGAGAAAAGAGGTAGAAATTAGAGAAAGTAAGAAAGAGGTAGATAAATATAAATGTAGTAATTGAGAAAAAATGTAATTAACCTAACATAAGAAGAAACCAATCAACTCTTTTGGTTATACTATTAGTACTGTTATTATACCATTGCTATTGCTATTAGTTTGTATGTTGACATTTATTACAAATGTATGTTGGTTGTGTTTTATTTGTAAATAATGCTCTGCCAACGCACTGTTATTCAAAAATGTTTATGAATGAAAATTTATAAAATGAATAATAATAAAATAATTGATTACAAAAATAACCCCTAATACAATGGATTTAACCAAAGCTCAGTCGAGAAAAATCTGCTGCATTTAATATGTGCAAAGATAGATGACCAGGCTGAGATAGTTATGTGGTATCTTGAAGGTATTGACTTCAATCTTATTCTGAGCACGATTGTCTAAAATCCATTCTTATAATATTAACTCTCCATTTCTCCCCCTTCCCCCGCCAATTGCCTCGCTTTTAGTTATCCAATAATAAAAGCATGGGTTGAAATCACTGACGGACATAAACCTTGTCTGTCTCTTTCTCTAAAAGCCTTATCAGCTGTCGCTAAGATACCAGGAACACGTTTATCAGGTGATCTCAGTAAAAGGGCAGCGGCTGGAGATTTATTGTGCTGCGCTGTGTTTACTCAGTACGGGTCTCAATTTGCTGAAGTGCTGCGTGTGGCATCCATTAAGAACAATGAAAGTGTGGGTTTTCAGAGAAACATGCAAGGAGTTCTTCTGGGGAACTCCCGGGATATTTTCTAGGGCGCTATAGATCAATGAAAAGATTCCGTCGAGGCCTTCTTCCAGAATTGTGAACGTAGTAGCTTCTTCACTAGAATTACGCATTGCTCTAAATCAGGAGTGACAAACTCCTGTTTGACCTCAGGGGCTGGGGTGGGCGTGGCCAGCTTGACATCACTCGTGTCACGGGGGGGCGCCTGTGGTGGCCCGAGCACTCTGCCACAGAAAATTGAGCTCCTGAGCTCCGTTTTCGGCTGGGACAGCCTCCTGCAACCCTCTGGCAGCAAAAATGGAGCTTGGGAGGGCCACGTTTTTGCCGGCTGAGGGACCATGGGCCAGTCCTTTGCTATTTCCAGAGCTCCCCCACGGCCTCTGGGCCTTGAGTTTGAGACCCCGGCTCTAAATCAAGCAGTCTGCAGATGTTCCAAATGCTTATTGGTGTCTTACTATCACTTTGAAACCATATTTGTGTTGTATGAAGTATATTAAATGTCATACCTTATGCCACCAGACTTGAAATTCTAGACCCAGAAAATCTAGAACTATGCCGCCTTCGGTCCAATCTTAGTATGTAAAATCATACATTGCAATGTCCTACCTGTCAATGAATACTTCAGCTTCAACCATAACAACACTAGAGCAAACAATCGATACAAACTCAAGGTTAACCACACCAAACTTGATTGCAGGAAATACGACTGCAGCAACAGAGTGGTCAATGTCTGGAATACTCTACCTGACTCTGTGGTTTCTTCCTCAAACCCCCAAAACTTTAACCTTAGACTTTCTACTATTGACCTCACCCCTTTCCTAAGAGGTCTGTAGGGGGCGTGCATAAGCGCACCAACGTGCCTACCATCCCTGTTCTATTGTTTCTTTTATTTTTCTTATATGTATCCATGTATTCATAACTCTGTTTTTACTTATCCCTCTTATCTTGTAAGCAATTGACAAACCAAATAAAATAAAGAATAAAAAATGTAACATAGTGTTATATAATTGATACGATACACAGGTAGTCCTCAACATACGGCCACAATTCAGCCCAAAATTTATGTTGCTAAGTGAGAAATTTGTTAAGTGAGTTTTGCCTCATTTTATGACTTGTCACATTTGTTAAGTGAATCATTTCAGTTGTTAAATTAGTAACACGGTTGCTAAGTGAATCCCGCTTCCCCGTTGACTTTGCTTGTCAGAAGGTTGCAAAAGATGATCACATGACCCTTTGGGGACACAGCAACTGTCATAAACATGAAGTGGTTGTCAAGCATCCAAATGTAAATCACATGACCATGGGAGATGCTGCAGTGGTCGTAAGTGTGAAAAATAGCCTTAAGTCACTTTTTCCAGTGCCGTTGCAACTTCGAACGGTCCTTAAATCACCACTGTAAATTGAACACTACCTGTAATATAATGTAGTTTTGTATGCATATACACAATTACTTTGCTAGGTGGGTTATAGTAGAATGAATCTATGCCAGCTTCGAAGACCAAGATGGGAATAAAATCTTTTCAGCTGAAGATTCTCAGCTCCGGAATCCTCAGGGAAGAAAGTCACAAAATGTTGTGTTCGGATCCAGACCGAATTATTCTCCCTTCGATTTCATTTTCTTTACTTTGCAATAAGCATTCATCAAAAAGTTTCCAGAACTGTTGCCCAATTGTCCTTCCAACTGACAGTATGAAACCGGTAGGAGCTGTTGGCATTCTCCTATTTGTGACCATGTGCTCCTCCCAATATCCACAGAAGTTTAAAGGACAGGGATTAATGATGCAATAATAGCCATTAACCATTAACTAAGAAAGAAGTTGCTTATTAAGGATTGATTTCTCCATTTTATATAAATGTAGGTGTCTTCTAGTTAACCATTTCTCTGGAAAGTTCACTCTGCTTTTAATAAAGGTTTTATTTAACATCCAAGTCCATTGCAGCCAACGTCCAAACGGTGTAAAATTATCAGTGTAAATTATCATAGCTATTCATCATGGGGTTCTGAGTTAAAATTTAGCAGGGCCATAAAGCTTATCTCTGTAGATAGAATTGAGCAATAAAAATGACTAGTTGATGGTGTTGGGTTGTTGTTGGTTTTTTTGCTGCATGGCAACTTTAAACATTCTGCAGGTAGGTAGTCCTTGACTTACAACCATTGGTTAAGCAGCCATTCAAAGTTACAACAGCACTGGAAAAAAGTGACTCGTAACCATTGCTTGTCCTTAAGACTGTTGGGAGCATCCTCACAATCAAGTGAAGAAAATTGGAGTGATTGACAACCAGCATATATTTATCAATCTGGGATCATGTGATCCCCAACTTGGGACCTTCTCAGCTGGCTTCTGGCAAGCAAAGTCCATGGGGGATGCTGGATTCACTAATGACCGCATGATTCACTTAACAGCAGAAAAGGTCATAAAATTGGATGTGATTCTCTTTAAGAGCTACCATGCTTAGCGGCCGAAATTCTGGTTGCAACTGTAATAGCAAGTCGAAACCTGTGTTGAATGACCTATTTGGCATCAAATTAGTGGCAGGGTTTATGCCACGAAGAGACCCCTAATCAGGTATCATGCCCCTGTTGGAATCTGATTCTGAGGGGGAGGTCGAACAACTGACAGGGAGTGGGAGTGTGGCTCCAGTGGCTGGGGAGGAAACTGGGGAAGGACACAGTCCTGCTAGGTATTCAGAGGAAAACCCAGCCCCTCTCTCTTCATCGTAGGGCACGCAGGGAAGAACAGATAAAGGAGCAACATGGGTTACGGGGGAGAAAAAAGCCCTGATTCCCTTCATTTGCTGCAGCTGGGAAAACAGGATAAAGAGGGTGTTTGCGCACAGAACCTTGCTGGAAGCAAAGCATGCATTATCTTTGTTTGTCAAGTCCTATCTGGGTTTTCTGGTGTCCTCCCAACTGTGTGTGTTTCGTTATCTTTTGAGTTCTGCAATTCCTTATCCTGCCCTGTCTCATTAATTGCTGCAGCTTGGTTTGTGTTGGTTTTTATTTATAATGTATATGTACTTTTGGTTCAGACTAAATTTCTTCCCTTTAAAAACTGTTCTTGGGAGAGTTTTTCCTCCAGCCGATGATAACTGGACATTGGAGGCCAAGTTGGAGGAATTAAAGGGACTTTACTTACTTTGTGGCTTTGTTGCTTTTGTACCACGCCCTGGGTGGTTTAGCACATATTAACACACAAGGTGGTTTAGCACATATTAACTGCTTCCAATAAAGGACTGTAAATTATGGGATGGTTTTAGTACTAATGCAAACCTTCTTGGATATATTGTTCTTCCCCAAAATAGAAGCTCCTTATTTTCTGCTTATAATAAACGTTATAATGGAGAGTAACACAAGCAAAATGGGACATGCGTTCCACCTAAATAGGAATCTAACAGTTTGGGTCGCCACAACCTGCATTTACCTTGAACAAGAGTTGGATGCAACGAAATCAGGCCAGGATGTCTGTTGCATCAAAGCATGTGCAACATGTATGTGTTCAGCGCTGTGTGTACCAGCTTTTCCCCAATTTGTGCTTCTCTGTGTGTTGGACGACATCTCCCATCCTCTCCCCAAGCCAGTCAAGGAACGTTGGTGAGCATTAAGCTTGGAGTACTCTATATTTCTCGAAGTTCATGAGATTGATTCCTGAAGAATTTTTTAAAACCCTGATATGCTCTAGAGTCATCTGAAAATAGCTTCTTTGTAGACGTTCATGCTTAAGAGATAAGTTTATCTAGATGCTTGTTGCAGATGCTTTCTCCATTTTCTCCTAGGCAGGAAAAGCTCACCGACTGAGCAGCGAAGAAAGAGAACAGCTCCTGCCAAATCTCAGGGCAGTCGGATGGAATGAGGTGGAAGGCAGAGATGCTATCTACAAGGAGTTCCATTTCAAGGACTTTAATCGGGTACAAAAGCACTCATCCATATTTTATTTTGAGAAAATCAGGCTCATGCATGTGTGTTGGGAACAGTGACCAAGCAGGCAGTTCTTCACTGGATGCAAATCCTTCCCAGGACAAAGCAAGCTGCAGAGATGCCCAGTTCCTAACCCCGCAGTGTTGCAACTCTTAACATGTCTAAGTGGATTAATACTTGCCAGTGCTTCTCTTTATGAAGCACTTTATAAAGGTGCTTTTTTCAAAAGGCAACTAGGTTTTCTTGATTTTTTTTTTGGTTTGAAAAAGTTTGGCTTCTCATCCAAGAAACATCTTCAGAACGCTTTTGGGATAACCATGACCTGGATGATTGAGAATCTGCATAGACATTCTTTATGTGGGATACCAAGATTGCTTTGGTCTTAGTGCAATAGAGAAAAAGGAGCATAGAACTACCTGTTGGTGCTACAATAGCCTTGCAGAGACAGGAGCTGCAAACAGTGGCTCTGAAATCCAATTGCATTTGCTGTCCGAATGTTCCTTGGATGCAAAAGCGAATAGCCTCAGGGTCCAGCCCTAATTATTTTTCCACTCCATCGCAAAAGGTTGGAGAGGATACCAATGCTTAGAATCAAGAAAGGTGCAGGGATTTTCCTTTTTTCTTCCATGCTTGTCAGGAAAAGACCAACTCAAGCATCTGCTTATGTCTGGCAGTCCCATCGCTTGCTGGTTTGCCCCCATTAGAGGCCTTTTCCTGACTAGGAGGGATGTAATAATCCCATTCATACCATGACTTTTCCTTTGGAGATGTAGATAAAAGTATTGAACTCCTCCCAATACCAAATACGATCCTAATCCTGCACGAAGGGAGGCTCAGCCAATCTCATTGTACAGATGTTGTACTCTGACAATAAAGCAGCACTCTTGCAGAACTGCACATGTTCCTGAACTACAATTCCCAGCCCCCCACATCAATGGCCATGTAAGCTGTGGGCTTTATTTAATCTTAAATCTGTCTCATTCTGCATTTTTGCGCAAACTCGATAAACTAAATGCTGTCCTTGGGAGAGTTAACTCAGGTATACCGGTAGACTCTTAATTGTGTGATTTGTGCAGTGTACCTTTCAGTTGTAATTATAGGTCTTATTAGTGGAGCCTGTTTGGAAGTTTCCCTTCTTTGCTTGTCTTTTTCTAAAACCTTCTTTCATCTTTCGAACAGGCTTTTGGATTTATGACCAGAGTAGCTCTGCAAGCAGAAAAACTGGATCATCATCCCGAATGGTTTAATGTTTACAACAAAGTAAGAGAAAAGAGTTGTTCAAGCCCTTTTTTTTCTTTGAATGATTCTTGCACTTTTCTTGGTAATATTGTTTGGGAGTAGAGTGATGCAGTGGCCTAGAGGTGGAGCTCTCGCCTCACAATCAGGAGGCTGTGAGTTCAATCCTAGGTAGAAGCAGATATTTCTCTCTGGGCACAATGAGAATATGTCTGCTGAACAAAACTCTGCATTGGTGACAGGAAGGGCATCTGGCCATTAAAACACTCTGCTTGCTCCATTCATTGCCCAGACTTGCAAGGGATTATGGGGTCATTAAATGGAGATGATAATGATTGTTTGGAAGTTTCCCATTGCCCTTCTTCCTAGGTCTGAAAGAGAAAGACTAGCTCCAAGTCACTGACTTGATTCTGGTCTCCCCAACTTCTAATGTTTTATCACAACCCCAAACTGGATCTCTGTTCAAGCTTAGATAAAGTTATATTAACTATATAAGCCAATTGTTGCACAAGCCCATTAAATCCATAGTGTTTTGTGCCTTTCTAGGTGCCCAAACCTAGACCTTTTGTGCGAAGCGGTGGTGTGTGTATGTGGGAGGGTATTTAAGCCTTATCCGAAGTACCTATTTAAGCCTTATCCGAAGTACCTGATAAGATAAAATATGTGAATTATAGATTGGCTCTCAGTTGCTATGGAAGGAGATCATAGCAGTGGCTCAATCTAGCAATTGCAATTGTAACTTTTTTTAAAAAAAAAACTCTTCTACACCAAAGTGACTCACTTCCCTAATCCTGATGGGGATAGAGTGTTTTAAATTTCATCGATAAGCACTGAGGCCAGCAGTGAATGACGATACTGAAAACATTTATTATTCCGTACTTTTTAAAAAATGGATCTTTTAGCTCTTCCAGGTACTTGAAGCTATGCTGCTTATACGTTCTCATAACTGCTGTATTAATTGGGCATTTATTTTTATTTTTTACAGGTTCATATAACCTTAAGCACACATGAGTGTGCTGGCTTATCTGAACGGGACATCAACTTGGCCAGTTTTATAGAGCAAGTTGCAAACACACTAGCCTAAAATGCTCACCGCCATCTTTGTCTGTAAAGGTAGCTCCCACGTCTTAACCTGTTGGAAAGTATCATGACAAACGTAACCTGGCCTCTGTATCCAGTTAATAGGGGAGAACCCATCTTTTGGTCAAAGCTTCATATTTGCTTACTGTGCAATTGTGCTGTGAATTCATCTGTTATCCATTATAAATCTGTCTTGTGTCAATATCTGTCTCTAGGGTTCTTTAGTCTGTAACCCTGTTTAGCAGTATTAAGTAAGTGCAGGAGAAGTCGCCTGTGGTTGTCAGTTTTAATAAAGCCTGCTCTTACGCAATCTCTTGGAAATTTATTGCATTTCTCTTCCACACTGTTTCTTGTATTGCCTGACTTCATGGAAGGGGTAGACAGGGAAATGCTGGAATTGCTTAATCTTCTTTTAAACTGAGGTAGACAGAACTTTGGATTGGCGATGTAGAAACCTAAAGCAAATAGCACTTAGACTTATATACCGCTTCACGGTGTTTTACAGCCCTAAGTGGTTTTATAGAGTCAGCCTCTTGCTCCCAACAATCTGGGTCCTCATTTTACCCACCTCGGAAGGAAGGAAGGCTGAGTCAACCTTGAGCCTGGTGGGATTTGAAGTGCCAAATTGCAGGCAGCTGACAGTCAGCAAAAGTAACCTACAGTACTCACTCTAACCACTGCGCCAATGTGGCTCAATCTGTATACTACAGATTGCAAATCATGGCTATTTTTTTTCCTTAGGATAGCTTTACCCCTCATGCAGTGTAAAACCACACCCAGTTTAACATACAGCAGAAGATAGGAAATTAAAATCACTTGCATGTTCTGTCAATCAACATTTTTAGAAGAAAATTAGGTTCTCATTTGTCAACATACCCAACACATGTGATAGGATCAATAGCATGTGCAGAGGGCTCAAAAAATTCAAGATGGCAGCTGTGTCTCTGCCATGCCTTTTTTACTTTCATTATCCTTGTACAATAATGGATTTCAGTCAGAACTGAAATTACTCCAAAGATTCTTGAGAGTTGTACATGAAGGGAAGTAAAATTCCTACAATAAAATAATGTTGATAAGTTCTTTTATTGCCACCTTGATTTTTTTAACCATTTCAGTGTCCCTAGCTTGCCAAAAATTTCAGATATGAAGTCCTAATAATCTTGGTGCCTAAGGCAAACTTGATCGGTGAGGTCAGCTTTCCAATAAACAAACTCTTTAAGACAGGAAAAAACTACCTTCCAATGTTTTAAACTTGGAATTTGAGGAAGAAAATAACATTTATTTTAAACCCGAAAACATGTACAAGATGCATGACAACGTATATATGGGTTAAGTATTGAAACAAAGCAGTTTTGAACATGTATAAGGATTAAACTGAAATTAAGATCTTACAAAATCAACATTCCGTTCTAGAACATGAATGAAAACCGATCATTAAATTACATAGGTAAGAGGGATGCAATTGAGTTTTTCTTTCATAATGTGTTTGGAAACCGTATCTGTGTATCTCTTCAAACTAGTCGATACACATACATGTCTTAGGCAATTAACCTTCAAATTATTTTGTATTCACTCCATTCAAAATTGAAATAGAAAGATAGCCATAAAGAGATAACATGATTAAACCAAAGATTCACAAAACATAAGACCCTGAACTCATGAAGTCACAAAGGATTGTACAATAATATCTGAAAGGAATATAAGTCTATACCACTAAAATATGCTTTTTTTTTCCCCCAGAGAACTATTGCTGACTGAATGTAATGAGACCTTGACTGATCTAGCAAAGTACCTACTTATCTATAGAGGACACTTAAGGCAGAATGGAAGTGTTCTCCATTCACTTCTGTAAAACTAGGCTGGTGAACCTAGCGTTACACCTCAAGTATTAGAATAAAAAGTTAATGTGCCTGCCATTTGGCCCACTGGCTCCCTTCTAGAAGCAGACTAAACAACGGGATAGAAGCAGTATCGCTAACCCATTAGAAGTCAAGCTTCAAGACCACAGGTATCAGTTGCAAAGTGCTACCTATGGGGTGGACTGAGCTGAGACGTCATGAAACACTGAAGGATTATATGATACCTGAGGTTGAAGTTATTTTCAGTGTAATATAACGGAGGTGATCATCGGTGGATTGGATCATCTGCTTAGCTTCTCGAGTAGAGATGCTCTCAGCATTTAAGGCAAATCTTGTATGTGCTATCTTGAGAACGTGTCTGATCAATCAATGCAACGCCTGAAAAGGAGCCTTGGGTCCTCCAAATAATCACATTCTGAGTCACTGGTTCTCTTGAGCCCATAAAGGCGCTTAACAAAATGGCAGAACTAGGAACTGGAACAGTTGAAGAAGCAGCTCAACTTCTCAAACAGTGACAGTGAAGAAATGCAATTTGCTTTCTCCTACTGTAGTAAACAGGTAGGACAAAAGCCCCTAACACATGGAAGAACCGTTTTATCCTAAGTACCTTCATGGATCTTTGTGGCTCAAAGACTTGTTTGGGGCAGGGGAGAGGGTCACAGTAAAAAAAACATTATAGGGAAAGGGAAAAGCACCCTGAAGGTACAAGGAAAGAAGGAAGTGTTCCTTTTTTCCTTTGATCCGTTTCCTCTCCTTCAGAGCAAATTCCCAAAGGGAGAACCAAACACTCACCCTGACTTTACCCTATTATCTGTGAAGGATGTTTATGTGCAACCTTCTGTTGAATTCACTGCTCAGTGTGAACGTCAACCAAGAGATCTGTATCCACCGAAGTAGTGCAAAACACCTGAGCATGAACAATGATGGAACAGACTTCTATTAACCTTAAGCCTGCTGTTTCTTGGACGACTAGAAGCAGCCGTGAGTCATAAGAAATACAAATAATTACCAGAAGTTAAAAGACAGAAAGAGAGAGAGAGTATTCCTGAAGTTTCACAAATCTGAACCGCCACTCTAAGATAGGGGGTTGAACTGGTGTTTAACCTAAGAGGGAATGTTATGCCAACAGATCAAGCTGCCTTGTGAGCTGTATTTGCAGAAGAAACAGTTCCAAGTGATAGTACCTTTCCTTTGAATTGTTTAGTGTGTCATCATCCAACAACTGAGATATATGACTAAAAATCAGTGGGGGCTTGGAGAACCATTCATGTGGGTATCAGCCAAGGGGAGAGGATCTGTGCTGTAGATGCTGTCCAAATAACCACCAGCAATTTCTGAAACCAGGTTTCTGTCAGGAATGCCTTGTGCCAGACCATAGATTGCACTCTATAAATTGAAACAAACAAAAAAAGAACACAACTATCAGCTAAGATTTATTCCACGCAACATTGCTTCTGAAATGTGTTCCTTGTATTTGCGTTATGCCCAAACGATAAAATCCAGTGCTTATGAAATAAGCAACCACAAGCCATATAAAACTCAGGAGCAGATTAAAATTATTTAAAGAATACTAAAATAGAGCAGATTGTCTTAGTTATCAAATGCCTAGGTATATAAAGGGCTTGTGTAGTAAGGGCAGACCACCTACAGAAATTCTAAAGAAAGCTGAAACATAAAAGATGTAACAGAAAATAACAAGTGAAATGCTTAAAACACAGAGAGAATCCGGAAAAAAAGCCCTTTATTGAATTTCCATCCAGTGCGCATCAGATGGTAACGCACCCAGATAAGACCTCTCTGAAAGACCTCCATGCTAACGTAAAATAATGCTAGAGGAGGAAGTTCCCCAACTAGTTTGAATTCAAATAATGTATTTCTTTAATCAATTCCATGATTCATATCTGGAAGGGAAGGGCAGCCCAAGTAACTACGCCTAAGCAAAGAAATATTCTGTGTCCTAACTAGCCCTGGTCAATAGCCTAGTACTCATTGGACACGTTCAACAATAAGCTAAAGTAAATGCAGTGCAATTAATTAGTAAACTAATTAAGATGTAATTAAGGAATGTGTGAATTACAGTCTGACCCGAAATCTCTTTGAATTAATCTAGCAGGCTCACCAGCCTCAACTAAATGAAAATACTTGGCCAACAGCTGAAATATAGATATTACAGGATCTTGGGTATAAAACTTAGCAATGTCTCCAAACTTCCAATCTGACTTTTCAGGCTACATCTAGGGTTTAAATCCTATTCTCTAATTTGCTTTCTACCATCTGCAAGTGCCACTGTCTTGTCTCTATATGTTTCCATAACAGCAAACGTCAAAAACAAAAATGTAAAATTCCCTTTACCATGCCAGTGGTCTTTTCCTTTGGGTTCTTCATGATCTCAGAGACACTCTCTCTGACATCCTTCAGCAGTTGTTCAGCCACCCCAGGTTCTGTTTGTAGCAGCGTTATGCAAAAATGAATACTTGGAAAAAGATGGAAAGACATAAAAAGTTAACCTTTCTTCACAATCAGAACCTTGTTTCTTGATCATACTCTATCCAGAGCTGGAAAATGCATGAGAAATCATGTTGATTCACTAGCTGCCTATCACATCCGCATTACAAATTGACTGAAGGTCCCAATTCCCTATTTTTGCAACATCTGAACACACACTAAGTTATTGCTTACCGTATTTCTTTCCTGTATTATATTATATTAATCATATCATATCATATCATATCATATCATATCATATCATATCATACTATACTATACTATACTATACTATACTATACTATACTATGTGTGTACTTTCTGTAGGGAGTGGTTATTTTTTTCTGCATTTATTATGCAAATTACACACAGGAGGCCCTGTGTAGGTTTAAAATAATAACTTCATTGGACTATTATATTATTGTACTATAATTTCAGCGTTCTGGAAAGCCTGTTTCACTTCATGTCATCTTAAAGTCTTAGCCAGGGTTGGGCACAAAGGAAATTTCATAATTCTCCAACTAATACATAGGCAAAGTGGGAGGAGAGATACAATTCTTGTCAACAATTTCTTAAGGGCAAGATTTTCTCTTAGTGGTGAACTAACAGCACTGTTGCTAAAAAAAGCACAATACCCAAATTCTTTTTGTGTGTTCTGATGAGTGTTCACTGAATTAGGGGAAATCAGAGAGAAGCTGCAGACTGCTGGAGAAATGACTATACATGTCACAACACCAAAAGCCATTCACAAGAACTTCTTAATAATAATATTCTCACTTGAAATAAAGCCAATTCTCTTCCAATATGTTTGAAATTGAATGGACTTTAAATTTAAACTGAAATTAGACCAAGTTCAGTAAGTCTTCAACTTAAAGACAGGTTGCTTAAGACGGGGCCTGAACCCGTGGACCATGAGGGGTTTGCAACTAAGTTGTGTAAATTTTGTGTCATCAAAGATCAAATCAGCACAAAGTCTCATACTCTTCATAATTAAGAAGATGCAGATATTTCAAATTAAAGTTCAAAAGAAACATTTCAGCTCCCGTACCCCACAACTGTTATATTCTCCAAACCATCCAGCAGTTTTGTAACTATCTGGCAATTTAGCAAGCATTCTTCACCTCCTATGTATTGGCGATTAAATAAAATTGGAGGAAAATGATGAAATAGCTAAGTGGCTTTTCCAGTTCTTTCCTCCAGGGAGATTTGAGTGCAAACTATGGTTTTGTTTTAGGTAAGATTGGAGTTAGTTTACTCCAATCAAACAGACAGTGTTGTTCAATACAAAATGTGTTCAGCGTTTGCTTGTGACTTGTTTTGCTTTGTTTTGGGTGAAGTAGTTGAGAAAATGTCATGTTTTTTGCTAATAACAATAATCATGCTTAAAATAACCTTTCACAGATGAAATTATGACCGATTAGAATTGTAAACCTAAAATAATTTAAAAAGTAATCTAATCTAATTTTGACGATGCAAAGAAAGCCCTAGGATGCAATGTACTAACAGATTAGTCATTATTTTGGCTGAATTGAACTATTTATATATACTTTCATATAACTAAGAAGAGTAAGAAAGCTACTCATGTCAGGGTGTCTTCTAAATAGTTATTTTCTAATCCAATCTTCCTAATTTTAGGTCTTAAGAAAATGGCCAGAACTAGGAAATTTCTTTGGAGGCACGAAGGCCAATTTTTTAACAGCTGTGAAAAATAAAATCTAAAAATATGAAGCAAATCTTTTGCTTGAGTGTGAATGTATGTATGTATGTATGTATGTATGTATGTATGGCATGTATGTATGGCATGTATGTATGTATGGCATTTAGCTTTGTTCGGGTATTTTCCCACGTCATTGTAGTTGTGCTTTTAAAGTTGTAGCAACATTTCGGCAGAATCTCATCTGCCATCATCAGGCTTCTGTGATAATTACAAAGAGGTAAAAGGATATATATATCCTTTTACCTCTTTGTAATTATCACTACCCCCACAAGACAGAAAATAAGACTGTGATTTTATTCTTTAAATTGAACAAAATAGCAGAGCAGAATAAGAATTAGAAGGCCTTCTAGTCCAGGGGTCTCCAACCTTGGCAACTTTATGACTTGTGGACTTCAACTCCCAGAATTCCTCAGCCAGCAT